TCCCATCCCAAAAATTTTCCCACCGGATTTTTTATGGGATCCTCATTGGGAAGATCCCGAGCTTAAAATCCCGGAATTTTCTCTTTTTTTGGGGGAAAAAAATCCGATTCCAAGCCTTTTTCCAGCTCTTTTTCCATGGAATTCCCTGGTGCCGTCACCGGGATGATCCCGAGCTCAAAATCCTGGAATTCCACTTTTTTTTGGGAAAAAATCCCATTCCATGAATTTTTCCAGCTTTTTTTCCATGGAATTTTGTTCCTGTGTCCTCCTTGAGATAAACCCGAGCTCAAAATCCTGGAATTTTCTCCTTTTTTTGGGATAAAAATCCCATTCCATGACTTTTTCCAGCTTTTTTTCCCATGGAATTCTCCGGAAATTCACCGGGATTGAAAATCCCGGAATTCCGCCCTTCCCGCTCCGAGATATTTAAAAAAAATCCCCAAAAAAATGGGAATAAAATCCTTGGAATTCCTTTGGAATTCCCGATTTTCCTCAATCCCCTCCTGGTTTTTAAAGGATTTCTCATTCCCAAGGATTTTCCCACCTGAATTCTTGAATATTCCCTAAAAAAAAAAAAATGAAGGATTTGTGAATTAAACAGGAGGAAAAATTATGGAAAAAAAAAATCCCAGGAATTTTCTCCTGGAAATCTCATCCTGGGAAATGGAAAATTCTGGAAAAATCATCCCTAAAAAATTCCAGGAAAAAAAAATATCAGGAATTTTTTTCCAGTTGAGGAGGAAAAAGAGCTGGAAAAAGGAAAAATCACCCCAAAAAAATCCTGGGAAAAAATCCAGGAATTTTCTCCTGTTAAAAGGAAAAAAAGAGCTGGAAAATCATGGAAAAAAATCCTTAAAAAAAACAGGGAATAAACCAGGAAAAAAAACCAGGAAAAGCTGGAAAATCATGGAAAAATCATCCAAAAAATCCAGGGAAAAAATGAGAAAAGAGGGGAAAAAAATCAGGAAAAAGAGCTGGAAAATCATGGAATAAAATCCCAAAAAAACCTGGAATTTTCTCCTGCTAAAAAGGAAAGAAAATGGGAAAATTAAGGAAAAAACACCCAAAAAATCCAGGAAAAAAATGAGAAAAAAGGGGAAAAAAATCGGGAAAAAAATCAGGAATTGGCTCCCGTTAAAAAGGAAAAAGAGCTGGAAAAATCATGGAAAAGAATCCCAAAAAAACAGGGAAAAAACAGGGAAAAACGGGAATTCTGTTCCATTAAGAAGGAAAAAAATTGGAAAATCCAGGAAAAATCACCCCAAAAAAATTCAGGAATTTTCTCCTGTTAAGAAGGAAAAAAGAGCTCAAAAATTATGGAAAAAAATCCCAAAAAAACAGGGAATAAACCAGGAAAAAAATCAGAAAAAGCTGGAAAATCATGGAAAAATCATCCCAAAAAATCCAGGAAAAAAATCAGAAAAAAGGGAAAAAAAATCAGGAAAAAGAGCTGGAAAATCATGGAAAAATCATCCAAAAAATCAGGAATTCTGGAAAAATTCTGGGAAAAAAATCAGGAAAAAGAGCTGAAAAATCATGGAAAAATCTTGGAAAAAACCTGGGAATTTTGTCCCTTTAATGAGGAAAAAATGACAGGAAAATCATGGAAAAACCGCCTCAAAAATCCAGGAAAATAAACCAGGAATTTTGGGATGTTAATGGGGAAAAAGAGCTGGAAAATCATGGAAAAGCTGCCCAAAAAAATGGGAAAAATCAGGAAAAAATGGGAAAAAAATCAGGAAAAAATCTGGGAATTCTCTTCCATGAAGGAGGAAAAAAAGCTGGAAAATCAGGGAAAAAACACCCAAAAAAATGGAAAAAAAATCAGGAAAAAATGGGAAAAAACAGGAAAAAAATGAGGAATTTTCTCCCATTAAGGAGAAAAAAAAAAGCCAAAAAATCATGGAAAAATCACCCAAAAAACCAGGAAAAAATCAGGAAAAAATCAGGAAAAAAGGGAAAATAAACATAAAAAAACCTGGGAATTGTCTCTCATCAAAACCAGGAAAAAATCAGGAAAAAATCAGGAAAAAAGGGAAAATAAACATAAAAAAACCTGGGAATTGTCTCTCATCAAGGAAGGAAAAAAAGCTGGAAAATCAGGGAAAAACCACCCAAAAAACCAGGAAAAAAATCAGGAAAAAATGAGAAAAAAATCAGGAAAAAAACCTGGGAATTCTCTTCCATGAAGGAGGAAAAAAAGCTGGAAAATCACGGAAAAAACACCCAAAAAAAGGAAAAAAATCAGGAAAAAATGGGAAAAAAATCAAGAAAAAAAGGAGGAATTTTCTCCCATTTAGGAGAAAAAAAAAAGCCAAAAAATCATGGAAAAATCACCCAAAAAACTTCTCCCATTTAGGAGAAAAAAAAAAGCCAAAAAATCATGGAAAAATCACCCAAAAAACGAGGAAAAAAATCAGGAAAAACCTGGGAATTCTCTCTCATCAAGGAGGGAAAAAAGCTGGAAAATCAGGGAAAAAACACCCAAAAAAATGGAAAAAAATCAGGAAAAAATGGGGAAAAACAGGAAAAAAACCTGGGAATTCTCTTCCATGAAGGAGGAAAAAAAGCTGGAATATCATGGAAAAAAGACCCCAAAAAAATGGGAAAAAATCAGGAAAAAATGGGAAAAAATCAAGAAAAAAACCTGGGAATTCTCTTCCATGAAGGAGGAAAAAAAGCTGGAAAATCAGGGAAAAAACACCCAAAAAATGGGAAAAAATCGGGGAAAAATGGGGAAAAACAGGAAAAAAATGAGGAATTTTCTCTCATTAAGGAGAAAAAAAAAAGCCAAAAAATCATGGAAAAATCACCCCAAAAAATGGGAAAAAAATCAGGAAAAATGAGAAAAAAACCACAAAAAAAGCAGAAAAAACCCAGAAATTCTCTCCCATTAAAGAGGAAAAAAATCTGGAAAATCATGGAAAAAACACCCAAAAAATAGGAAAAAAAACAGGAAAAAATGGGAAAAAAATCAGAAAAAAACCCCAAAATTCTCTCTCATCAAGGAGGGCAAAAATCTTGAAAATCATGGAAAAAACACTTCAAAAATTCAGGAAAAAAACCTGGGAATTCTCTCCCATTGGGGAGAAATAAAGCTGGAAAATCATGGAAAAAACCACCCAAATAATAGGGAAAAATCAGAAAAAAATGGGAAAAAAATCAGGAAAAAATCAGAAAAAATCCCAGAAATTCTCTCCCCTTAACGAGAAAAAAAAACTGGAAAATGAGAGAAAAACCACCCAAAAACCAGGAAAAAAATCAGAAAAAAATCAGAAAAAAATGGGAAAAAAATCAGGAAAAAATGTGGAAAAAACCCAGAAAAAAAAAAAGGAACTCTCTCCCATTAAGAAGAAATAAAGCTGGAAAATATCAGAAAAAACACCCAAAAAATGGGGAAAAATCAGAAAAAAATGGGAAAAAAATCAGAAAAAATCCCAGAAATTCTCTCCCATTAAGGAGAAAAAAAAAGCCGGAAATTTAGGAAAAAAACACCCAAAAAACAGAGAAAAATCACGAAAAAAATGGGGAAAAAAGCGGAAAAAAACCAGGAAAAAAATGGAAAAGACCAGGAAAAAGCCTGGGGATTTTCTCCCATTAAGGAGGAAAAAAAAGCTGGAAAATCAGGGAAAAAACACCCAAAAAATAGGGAAAAATCAGAAAAAAATGGGAAAAAAATCAGGAAAAAACCCAAGAATTCTCTCCCATTAAAGAGGAAAAAAATCTGGAAAATCATGGAAAAACCACTTCAAAAATTCAGGAAAAAAACCTGGGAATTCTCTCCCATTGAGGAGAAATAAAGCTGGAAAATCATGGAAAAAACCACCCAAAAATGGGGAAAAATCAGAAAAAAATGGGAAAAAAATCAGGGAAAAATCAGTGGAACCCAAAAATGGGGAAAAATCAGAAAAAAATGGGAAAAAAATCAGGGAAAAATCAGTGGAAAAAACCCAGAAAAACAAAAAGGAGCTCTCTCCCATTAAGGAGAAATACAGCTAGAAAATCATGGAAAAGCCACCCAAAAAATAGGGAAAAATCAGAAAAAAATGGGAAAAAAATGGGGAAAAAATCAGAAAAAAATGGGAAAAAAATCAGAAAAAATGTGGAAAAAACCCAGAAAAAAAAAAAGGAACTCTCTCCCATTAAGGAGAAATAAAGCTGGAAAATCACGGAAAAAACACCCAAAAAATAGGGAAAAATCAGAAAAAAATGGGAAAAAAATGGGGAAAAATGGGAAAAAAATGGGAAAAAAATGGGGAAAAAATCAGAAAAAAATCAGAAAAAAATCAGAAAAATGGGGAAAAAATCAGAAAAAAATCAGAAAAAAATCAGAAAAAAATCAGGAAAAAATCAGGAAAAATTTCCCAGGAATTCCCTTTTATTCAGAGGAGCCGGGAAGTTTCATCCCAGATTTTTCCCGCCCGGAATTCCATCCCAAATCCCGCTTTACCTGCGGCGCCAGCTGCTGCTGCTGCTGCTGCATCCCAAAAAAAAGGGGAAAAAAATCAGAAAAAAACCCCAAAAATTCTCTCCAATCAAGGAGAAAAAACCCCAGAAAATCATGGAAAAAACACTTCAAAAATTCAGGAAAAAAAACCTGGGAATTCTCTCCCATTGAGGAGAAATAAAGCTGGAAAATCATGGAAAAAGCACCCAAATAATAGGGAAAAATCAGAAAAAAATGGGAAAAAAATCAGGAAAAAATGTGGAAAAAACCCAGAAAAACAAAAAGGAACTCTCTCCCATTAAGGAGAAATAAAGCTGGAAAATATCAGAAAAAACACCCAAAAAATAGGGAAAAATCAGAAAAAAATGGGAAAAAAATGGGGAAAAATGGGAAAAAAATGGGAAAAAAATGGGGAAAAAATCAGAAAAAAATCGGAAAAAAATCAGGAAAAAATCAGGAAAAATTTCCCAGGAATTCCCTTTTATTCAGAGGAGCTGGGAAGTTTCATCCCGGATTTTTCCCGCCCGGAATTCCATCCCGAATCCTGCTTTACCTGCGGCGCCAGCTGCTGCTGCTGCTGCTGCTGCTGCTGCATCCCCGGCCTCATGTTGATCCCCACGGGAGATCCGAACTGGTTGAGGAGCGCCTGACGGTTCTGATGGATCAGCTGGAGGAAAATCCCAAATTCCCGTCAAAACCCCCCAAAAAAAACCACAAAAACAGGAATATTTTATATTTTTTTCCGGGATTTTTTTGGGAATTTTTTTGGAATTTTTTGGGAATTTTTTGGGGAATTTTTTTGGGAATTTTTTGGGAATTTTTTTGGGGAGGAATTTTGTTTTGTTTACCTGTTGCTGGCCCTGCAGGCGCTGCTGGAGCTGCAGGCGGAGCTGGTTGGGAGCGCTAGGAGGGCGNTTTTCTCCTTTTTTTGGGAAAAAATCCCATCCCAAAAATTTTCCCGCCAGTTTTTTATGGGATCCTCATTGGGAAGATCCTGGGCTCAATATCCCAGAATTTTCTCCTTTTTTTGGGAATAAAATCCCATTCCATGACTTTTTCCAGCTTTTTCCCATGGAATTCCCTGGAGCTGTCACTGGGCTGATCCTGAGCTCAAAATCCCGGAATTCCACTTTTTTTTGGGATAAAATCCCATCCCAGGAATTTTCCCAGCTTTTTTTCCATTAAATCTCCTTCCTGTGCCCTCACTGGGATGATCCCAAAGTCAAAATCCTGGAATTCCGTCCTTCTTTTGGGGGATAAAATCCCATTCCATGACTTTTTCCAGCTCTTTTTCCATGGAATCTCATTCCTCTTCCTCATTGGGATAAACCCGAGCTCAAAATCCCGGAATTTTCTCCTTTTTTTGGGATAAAAATCCCATCCCATGACTTTTCCCAGCTCTTTTTTCCATGGAATTCCCTGGAGCCGTCACCGGGATGATCCTGAGCTCAAAATCCCAGAATTCCACTTTTTTTTGGGGGGAAAAAATCCCATCCCAGGAGTTTTCCCAGCTTTTTTTCCATTAAATCTCCTTCCTGTGCCCTCACTGGGATAATCCTGAGTTCAAAATCCCAGAATTCCACTTTATTTTTTGGGAAAAAAATCCCATCCCAAAAATTTTCCAGCTCTTTTTCCATGGAATCTCATTCCTGTTCCTCATTGGGATAAACCCGAGCTCAAAATCCCGGAATTTTCTCCTTTTTTTGGGATAAAAATCCCATCCCAAAAATTTTCCCACCGGATTTTTTATGGGATCCTCATTGGGACAATCCCGGGCTCAAAATCCCAGAATTTTCTCCTTTTTTTTGGGATCAAATCCCATTCCATGACTTTTTCCAGCTCTTTTTTCCATGGAATTCCCTGGAACCATCACCGGGCTGATCCCGAGCTCAAAATCCCGGAATTTTCTCCTTTTTTTGGGAAAAAAATCCCATCCCAAAAATTTTCCCGCCAGTTTTTTATGGGATCCTCACTGGGATAATCCCAAGCTCAAAATCCTGGAATTTTCTCCTTTTTTTGGGAATAAAATCCCATTCCATGACGTTTCCCAGCTCTTTTTTCCATGGAATTCCCTGGAGCTTTTTTTGGGAATAAAATCCCATTCCATGACGTTTCCCAGCTCTTTTTTCCATGGAATTCCCTGGAGCTGTCACTGGGTTGATCCCGAGCTCAAAATCCTGGAATTTTCTCCTTTTTTTTGGATAAAAATCCCATTCCAAAAATTTTCCCAGCTCTTTTTCCATGGAATCTCATTCCTGTTCCTCATTGGGATAAACCCGAGCTCAAAATCCCTGGGATAAACCCGAGCTCAAAATCCCAGAATTTTCTCCTTTTTTTGGGATAAAAATTCCATCCCAAAAATTTTCCCACCGGTTTTTTTATGGGATCCTCATTGGGAAGATCCTGGGCTCAAAATCCTGGAATTTTCTCCTTTTTTTGGGATCAAATCCCATTCCATGACTTTTTCCAGTTCTTTTTTTCCATGGAATTCTCCAGAAATTCACCGGGATTGAAAATCCCGGAATTCCGCCCTTCCCTCTCCGAGATATTTAAAAAAAAAAATCCCCAAAAAAATGGGAATAAAATCCTCGGAATTCCTTTGGAATTCCCGATTTTCCTCAATCCCGTCCTGGTTTTTAAAGGATTTCTCATTCCCAAGGATTTTCCCACCTGAATTCTTGAATATTCCCTAAAAAAAAAAACTGAAGGATTTGTGAATTAAACAGGAGGAAAAATGATGGAAAAAAAAAAATCCCAGGAATTTTCTCCTGGAAATCTCATCCTGGGAAATGGAAAATTCTGGGAAAATCATCCTTAAAAAATTCCAGGAAAAAAAAAAAATCAGGAATTTTTTTCCAGTTGAGGAGGAAAAAGAGCTGGAAAAAGGAAAAATCACCCCAAAAAAATCCTGGGAAAAAATCCAGGAATTTTCTCCTGTTAAAAGGAAAAAAGAGCTGGAAAATCATGGAAAAAAATCCCCAAAAAAACAGGGAATAAACCAGGAAAAAAAATCAGAAAAAGCTGGAAAATCATGGAAAAATCATCCAAAAAAATCAGGAATTCTGGAAAAATTCTGGGAAAAAAAATCAAGAAAAAAGAGCTGGAAAATCATGGAATAAAATCCCAAAAAAACTGGAATTTTCTCCTGCTAAAAAGGAAAGAAAATGGGAAAATTAAGGAAAAAACACCCAAAAAATCCAGGAAAAAAATGAGAAAAAAGGGAAAAAAAATCAGGAAAAAGAGCTGGAAAAATCATGGAAAAGAATCCCAAAAAAACAGGGAAAAAACAGGAAAAAACAGGAAAAAACCAGGAAAAAACAGGGAAAAAACGGGAATTCTGTTCCATTAAGAAGGAAAAAAATTGGAAAATCCAGGAAAAATCACCCCAAAAAAATCCAGGAATTTTCTCCTGTTAAGAAGGAAAAAGAGCTGGAAAATCATGGAAAAATCTTGGAAAAAACCTGGGAATTTTGTCCCTTTAATGAGGAAAAAATCACAGGAAAATCATGGAAAAACCGCCTCAAAAATCCAGGAAAATAAACCAGGAATTTTGGGATGTTAATGGGGAAAAAGAGATGGAAAATCATGGAAAAGCTGCCCAAAAAAATGGGAAAAATCAGGAAAAAATGGGAAAAAAACCAGGAAAAAAACCTGGGAATTCTCTTCCATGAAGGAGGAAAAAAAGCTGGAAAATCAGGGAAAAAACACCCAAAAAAAAGGAAAAAAATCAGGAAAAAATGGGAAAAAATAGGAAAAAAATGAGGAATTTTCTCCCATTAAGGAGGAAAAAAAAAGCCAAAAAATCATGGAAAAATCACCCAAAAAACCAGGAAAAAAATCAGGAAAAACCTGGGAATTCTCTTCCATGAAGGAGGGAAAAAAGCTGGAAAATAATGGGAAAAGTGCCTAGAAAACAGGAAAAAAAATCAGGAAAAAATCAGGGAAAAAGGGAAAATAAACATAAAAAAACCTGGGAATTGTCTCTTATTAAGGAGGGAAAAAAGCTGGAAAATGAGGGAAAAACCACCCAAAAAATGGAAAAAAATCAGGAAAAAACCCTGGGAATTCTCTCCCATGAAGGAGGAAAAAAAGCTGGAAAATCATGGAAAAAACACCCAAAAAAACGGAAAAAAATCAGGAAAAAATGAGAAAAAAACAGGAAAAAACCCCAAGAATTCTCTCTCATCAAGGAGGGAAAAAAAGATGGAAAATCAGGGAAAAAACACCCAAAAAACCAGAAAAAAAATCAGGAAAAAATCAGAAAAAAATCCCAGAAATTCTCTCCTATTAAGAAGGAAAAAAAGCCGGAAAATCAAGGAAAAACCACCCAAAAAAACAGGAAAAAAATCAGGAAAAAATGAGAAAAAAACACAAAAAAAGCAGAAAAAAACCCAGAAATTCTCTCCCATTAAAGAGGAAAAAAATCTGAAAAATCAGGGAAAAAACACCCAAAAAATAGGGAAAAAAACAGGAAAAAATGGGAAAAAAACCAGAAAAAAACCCAAAAATTCTCTCCAATCAAGGAGAAAAAACCCCAGAAAATCATGGAAAAAACACTTCAAAAATTCAGGAAAAAACCTGGGAATTCTCTCCCATTAAGGAGGAAAAAAAGCTGGAAAATCATGGAAAAAAACACCCAAAAATGGGGAAAAATCAGAAAAAAATGGGAAAAAAATCAGAAAAAAATCAGGAAAAAATCAGGAAAAATTTCCCAGGAATTCCCTTTTATTCAGAAGAGCCGGGAATCTCCATCCCGGATTTTTCCCACCCGGAATTCCATCCCGAATCCCGCTTTACCTGCGGCGCCAGCTGCTGCTGCTGCTGCTGCATCCCAAAAAAAAGGGGAAAAAAATCAGAAAAAAACCCCAAAATTCTCTCCAATCAAGGAGAAAAAACCCCAGAAAATCATGGAAAAAACATCTCAAAAATTCAGGAAAAAAAACCTGGGAATTCTCTCCCATTGGGGAGAAATAAAGCTGGAAAATCATGGAAAAAGCACCCAAAAAATAGGGAAAAATCAGAAAAAAAAGGGAAAAAAATCAGGAAAAAATGTGGAAAAAACCCAGAAAAACAAAAAGGAACTCTCTCCCATTAAGGAGAAATACAGCTAGAAAATCATGGAAAAAACACCCAAAAAATCAGAAAAAAATCAGAAAAAAATCAGAAAAAAATCAGAAAAAAATCAGAAAAAAATCAGAAAAAAATCAGAAAAAAATCAGGAAAAAATCAGGAAAAATTTCCCAGGAATTCCCTTTTATTCAGAGGAGCTTGGAAGTTTCATCCCGGATTTTTCCCACCCGGAATTCCATCCCCAATCCCGCTTTACCTGCGGCGCCAGCTGCTGCTGCTGCTGCTGCTGCTGCTGCTGCTGCATCCCCGGCCTCATGTTGATCCCCACGGGAGATCCGAACTGGTTGAGGAGCGCCTGACGGTTCTGATGGATCAGCTGGAGGAAAATCCCAAATTCCCGTCAAAACCCCCCAAAAAAAACCACAAAAACAGGAATATTTTATTTTTTTTTTCCGGGATTTTTTGGGAATTTTTTTGGAATTTTTTGGGAATTTTTTGGGAATTTTTTTTGGGGAGGAATTTTGTTTTGTTTACCTGTTGCTGGCCCTGCAGGCGCTGCTGGAGCTGCAGGCGGAGCTGGTTGGGAGCGCTGGGAGGGCGGCTCAGCGGCTGCCGGGCCGGAATTCCCATGGAATTATTGGGGAATGTTCCACGGGCAGGAGGAGGAGGAGGAGGAGGAGGAGGAGGAG